CATGATAGAGTGCTGTGGCTATCTTAGGCTCAGGCTATCTTAGGGCTCCTGAGTGGGGACAGAGAAGAGAGTGGGAAGCAGCCTTAGGCTGAGACCCCAAGACGAGATGTTACGTTTTGGCTGTGTCCTCACCCAAATCTCATCTTGAATTGTAGCTCCCATAATCCCCATGTGTTGTAGGAGGGACTCAGTGGGAGGTAACTGAATCACAGGGGCTGTGCTGTGCTGTTCTCATGATAGTGAATAAGTCTCACTAGATCAGATGGTTTTATAAAAGGCAGTTACCCTGCACATGCTCTCGTGCCTGCTGCCATGTAAGATGTGCCTTTGCTCCTCCTTAGCCTTCCGCCATGATTGTGAGGCCTCCCCAGTCATGTGCAACTGTGCATCCATTAAGCCCCTTTTTCTTTATAAATTACTCAGTCTTGGGTATGTCTTTATTAGCAGCGTGAGAACAGACTAATACACAAGGATTTGAGTGCAAGTGGCTTATTTGGGAGGTGATCCCAGGAAACACCAACAGAGGAATGGGGAGGTGAGCAATGGAAGGGAAGGCAGTCCGGAAAGTGTCAATTAATGAGTGACTTTGCAATGTGGGCCACGGAGGCTCAGTCCTGCTGGGGACCACTGGAGACAATGTGGAACTGGCAAGAGTTGTCCCACCTGTAGGGTGTTAATCCCCTGACTCCCATCCATCATTGGCTGAGGTCTATTCTGGATCAACACATGGACACTTTCAGCCTGTCTTGTGATCCTCATGGGTGCGACCCTGGGAGGGAGGGTCAAAGGTGCTGGATGTAGGGAGCAGTAGGCAGGGACTGGGAGAGAGAGTGTAGCGGGTAGGGGCAACAGTACAGACAGGACAAATGATATTCATGCTGGGAAATGTGTATGTCTTTTTTCTGGCTAGGCCTTTCCCTGGGGGTTGAGTCAAACCAAGCAGGAGTCCAGCTGGACTTGGGTTTTGTAGTTGCCCTATGCTATGGTTTGAATGTTTGTTCCAACTCATGCTGAAATGTAATTGCCATTGTAACAATATCAAGAAAGAGGACCTTCAAGAGGTAAGCCACAAGGGCTCCACCTGCATGGGTGAGATTAATGCCATTATAAAAGGATGAGTTTGGCCCTCTCTTTCTCTTTCTCATCTTCCCACTTTCCATCATGTGATGATGCAGCAAGAAGGCTCTCAAACATACTGGTAACTTGATATTGGACACCCCAGCTTCCAGAACTGTGAGCCAATACATTTCTATTAGTTATAAATTAACCAGTCTGTGGTTTTCTGTTACAGCGGCGCGAACAGACTAAGACACTGTGGTTGCTATGAGCGTGCCATTGGCTTCAGATCAATGTTATCCCGTGCTTTGGGTGGAGGTTGGCTTGCAGAGGAGTTTGCTCAGTGTCTTTAAGCTTCTGCATTGTGCCTGAGCCTTGGATATGGTCTCTGCCCCATCCCCAGTGGTAGACATCTGTTTGCTTGTTACTTGCTGGCCTGGTTGGATGGGAGAAGTGGGATTCTCTATGTTCCTCAGCCAGCCTCAGTCTAGGCAGGCCCTGTGTATTTGGGGCTTAGGGGTGGCATTTTCTCAAGATCCCTGCCCCTCTCCTAAGGGTAGCAGGTCTCCAGGTCTGGGCTCAGGATGGTTTCTTGCTCTTCCCCAAGGGCAGAGGGTTTTACTATTTCTTCTCCTTCTGCAATTGCCTTTGCATGGGCCTTGGAAGCTACAGCGTTGGCTGTCTTTCCCCCACGGCTTAAGGTTTTTGTGCCCTTCCTCTAGAAGAGAAGGAAGGTGGGGGTATTTGATGCCTTTCCTGCTCCCTTCCTCCAGTCTTACCCCTCCCAGGGAAGATTTCTCCAGGACCCTGCAGGGACCCAGCCCACAGGGAAAAGGGTCTGCAGGTTGGTGGGACCCATGCTGTGTCTGCGGCTTCCGAAGGTTCTATGCACTCACTTGAGTCTTAGTTGGCCTTTAGCAATCACTTAAGTCTTTTAGCTGATTCCTTACTCGCTTGCACAGTGGACCCCAGGGGGCTCAGTGATCCAGAGTCCTGTCTCTCCTTGGAAGCACCTTACTGTCCTGAGAGTTCAGGCCATTTGGTGCCCTGCAACCTCAGCTGTCCTAGGGGTTCAAGGAAAGTATAGACTGGCCTTTTTTTTTTTTTTTTTTTGAGAAAGGGTCTTGCTCTGTTGCCCAAGCTGGAGTGCAGTGGCGCAATCTTGACTCATGGCAACCTCCACCTCCCTGGCTCAAGAGATCCTCCCATCTAAGCCTCCTAAGTAGTTGGGATCCAGGCATGTGCCAATACACCTGGCTAAGTTCTGTATATTTTGTATGGACGGAATTTTGCCATGTTGCCCAGGCTGGAACTCCTGGACTTAAGGGATCCACCCTCCTTGGCCTCCGAAAGTTCTGGGATTACAGGTATGAGTCTCTGTACCTGGCCAGCTCTTCCTTCTTGATAGGTTGCCACGTGGTCTATAAGATGCCTTGTGTGCACCCAGAAGGCTGCCTTAAGACCATCTGTTAGAGTGTGGGCAGAAATTTTAGAACTTGTATTTCTACTTATACCTCATTCTTTAAAACACCTCCAGAGAATGAGGCTTCTCTGGCAGGAAGTGAGACTTCGCCCTGACAGTGAATGGAGCATCGGGGGACACCCAAGAATGCCTGTCACCAGGGTAGGAGCTGCGAATAACCACGAACTTCCTCCTTGGGGAATAAGGGAATCCAAAAAAGTCTAACTTACTTATAAATGTAGTCACCTCCCATCCGATGTTATTTCTCTGTTTTAAAAAAAATTGTTTTATTTTATTTTTAAATTATTTATTATTTTTCAGTTTTCCAAAGGCTGAAGCTAAGAAATTCTCTCTTGTCCTTAAGGTCTTATGCAAGGCGTCTCTGTTTCAGAGAGGCCTTCTTTGACCATCCCATCTAAGGAGGGCCTCTGTTATTCTCACCTGATGACATTCATCACATAGCCTGGCCTAATGGTAGTGGGAGCCAAAGGTTAGGAGAATGAAGGGAAACAGTTCCGTCCCTGCCATATCTGGGTCTCCAGAGGGGGAGGCTGGAGCTGTCTCATGGGTCATGGGCAGGAGCCCTCAGCAGTGACAGCTTCTGAGGGGCCAGGAAAATGGCAGGAAGGAGCAAGATGCTGAGACCTCCAGATGAGACAGAAGCAGACAGATGCCCCTTCTGCTCTGTTCTCTGGGTAGTGGATGCTGATCCCTTGGAGGGGAGGAGAGGCAGCCTTCTCAGTCACCCCTTCATACCTGAACCCTTGGGGAAAAGGCCCCAGCTTTTGTGCCTGGACACTTGGCCTCTCTTTGCTGGGTTCAGCTGTGCAGGCAGTCCCTGGGAGGAAGATGGGGACCAGGATGCTCCCCTTGTGGGGCCTGGGCTGCTTTTGTCCTCTGGGGGGCTCAGAGCCTAGGTCTCTGTCCCACAAAATACAGGGGAGTTTCAGGAGCAGCAGACACGCATGTGCCTCAGCATAGAAAATGTATGGGGGCAGAAGCACAGCTGCGCGTCTTCCAGACCAGACCTGCCTCCTTGTGAAACCTCCATGCGTGGGAGTTCCCTACTGCCTCTGAGGCTCTCCAGGGCTACCTAAAGGTCCCCTCCTCTCGCTGGCTTCTCAGAGGTATTGCCTTCCACCCACGCTGCCATGGACACCCCCAATTACATATCCCTCTCCAGTTCTCTCACTGAGCAGCTGGGACTTACTTCCTCCTGGGACACCTTTCCCTTTGCCTCCCTCCTCCTCTGTCAGACTTCCATTCGCCTTTCAAGGCCCAAGCCTTTTGCCTCCTCTTCCAGGAAGCCTCCCCAGGTATGAGAACAGATCCCTGCCTCCTCTGTGCTCCCTGCTCGTGGCTGGGGTCCATCACTGCACTGAACATAATGCTCTGTGTCACTTTTGTTTGGGTAAGTGCCCAGTTTCTCCTGACATCATAGTCTCCTGGGGATCTGTGTGGACCCCTCCCATCCACTGTGGCATCCATCACATGAACAAAGACTGGAGTCTTTAGGGACTGATAGAGTTTGGATGTTTGTACCCTCCCAATCTCATGTTAAAATGTGATTCCCCAGTGTTGGAAGTGGGGCCTAGTGGCAGGTGTTTCGGTCACGGGGGTGGATCCCTCATGAATGACTCAGTGCCCTCCCCACAGTAACGAGTGTTTTCACTCTATTCGTTCACAAGACAGCTGGCTACTTAAAAGAGCCTGGCATCTCTCTTGCTCCCTCTCTTGCCACGTGACATACCTGCTCCTCCTTCCCCTTCTGCAACTGTAAGCTTCCTGAGGCCCTCACCAGCAGTAAATGCTGGCACCATGCTTCTTGTACAGTCTGCAGAACTGTGGCCCCAATAGACCTCTTTTCTTTATAAATGACCCAGCTTCAGGTATTCCCTTATTGCTACCCAAAATAGACTAACACAGTGAGGGTGTGGTCAGAGTTCCAGGTCTTCATGCATGAACTCAGCCTCTCCTTCAATTTTCCAGACACAGTTTGGTGACCAAACCTGACTCAGCCTTCTCCTCTCAAAGTGCGCAGAGCCCCAGTGTAACACTTGACACATTGTCTTTGCCCCTGGCTGGCTTATCAGCCTTCTGACAAGACTGTGAGGTTGAGCAAGGGAAGGATGGTGTTCTTGCTCATTCTGGGTATCTAGTGCCATTAATGAAGAGGAGCAGAGGGCTCTACCGTCAGCGGTTCCTGAAGTGCCCTGGCCACCCCTCACCCCTGCCTCCCAACAGGAGCCTGTGACAATGCCACCACTGAATAAGGGGGAAATTGAGGCCCAGAAAAGGCCCATGAATGGCCCTGGGTCATACAGCCCATCCCTGTAAGGCTGAGACCAACCAAAGCCGATTCTCTGCATGGCCAACCACCTCCCTCTGCCCCTCCATGACAAGGTAGGCTGGGAGAGGGGGAGAACTGGAAACCTCTAGCTCAGAACTCCAACCAGAGCTGCAAGAAACAAAGACAGGGAGATGCATCTGCCTGTGACCTTTATTCCTCATGTTTCTCTGACTTGAGTGGAGGTTTTGGAGGTTCACCTTGGGGTACATTTTCTGTTGCCTCATTTCCTTCAGCCTCGGGTTCAGCTGGGAGAGAAGAAGGTGACTTCCCCAAGTAGGCCCCCAACACTGACCCAACAGAGGCCAGGAGGATGTTGGATGATGTGGAGAGTCCGGCTGCCCCTGTGGAGGAGACAGAGAATGAGCACAGGGGTCTGGCAACGGCCCAGAAATCCCACCTAGATCCCTCCTCCAGGTCCTAAAAATCCCAGGGATCTGCTTTGGGTAGAAGCTGCTAGAGGCAACTAAAAGACAGCTCAGGGGTGAATTCACGGAAACTGAGAGATAGAGGGAGAGTCATCCACAGACAGACCCTAAGAGATACAGCGCCCCTTACTTTACACGGGAGGCCACTGAGGCCCAGAGAGGGCAGGGGACCTTGCCCAGGTCACCCAGGTGTCAGAGCCCAGGCATGGCTCTTGGCCTGGGTTCCTTTCCTCTTCTCCCTATCCAGGACCCCATCACCCTATCCACTCCCACCTCAAACCTCACTCAGAAGGAGCCAGAAGAAGGGACAGTGAGGGAGAGACTGAAGACCCAGGAAGCTGAGGGTCATGGAACTGCAGGGCAAGGAGAGGGCCTCCCTCAGGCTCAGCCTCAGGACTGGATCTTCTCCCAGCTCTGGGGGTCCTGTCCAGGACACTTACCCACAGACTGCAGAATAGCCACCAGGCTCCCCGCAGAAACCCCACCGCCGTTGGCGATGGCTGCTGCGGACATCATCTTGGCTGCTATGGAGGATGCGGCGATTCCTGCCCCAGTGAAGCCCATGGCACTGAGCACCACGGGCACAGCCCCCACTGCCAGGGCTGTGGGGAGAGAGAAGCTGAGTGCAGGGGTGGGCTCAGGAGAAGGGTTCGAAGCTGAGTGCAGGGGTGGGCTCAGGAGAAGGAACCCTCCCCGCCCCCCCTGCTTAGGAATTCCTTGACAGTTTCGGACGACTGTCAGCTTGAGCAATAGAGACATGGCAGCTTAGGGGGCTCGTGGTGAAGAAAAGGTGGAGTGTGGAGCCAGGTGAGGCAAAGATGTCATAGAAGGACCAGGCATAGCCCTGGTTTGTCTCTAACTTGCTGTGTGATGCTGGAGAAGTCAATACCCTTTATTGGGTCTCAAGTTTGTGTGTGTGCGTGTGTGTGTGTGTGTGTGTGTGTGTGTGTGTGTGTGTGTGTGTCCACGCATAAATGTGAAATAAGCCATGTGGAGTTTACCTGCAAACGCTCTTTCAAACGAAATCTTCCTCCTATGCTTATTCTACATAAGGACTAGAGGACAAGCTGGGGCTGGAATGGGAGTGAGCTTTTCCCTGGAGTATTTTGATGCTGCTCCCGGCCCCTATGGCTCACTCAGGCAACTCAGGCAGCTTCGGAAGTGGAGGGTGAGTGGGGAGAGCCAGCTCTGCGCCTCATCTCTGCGGTCTCCCAGCAGCCCCAGGACCAGGCTAGGTGAGGGCCTAGAGACGGGAGAGCTGGGCAACTTACCTCCTCCCACTGCAGCAGCAGCTGCCTGTTCTAGAGAGAGAGAGCCAGGGGAAGAGGGGAAGGCAGAGGGAGAGGGTAAAGGGGAGAAAGGGGAGAGAGAGAGGCACAAAGGGAGGGGGAGGGAAAGGAGGTAGAAAAAGAGGGGGAGGGAGGAAGGGAGGGAGAGGGAGTCAGCAGGTCAGCTGGTTGATGAAGTCAGGGAAGGAAGCTATTCAATGTCCCTTCCTGGGTTGGGGAAGGGGAGGCCTGCCCCAAGCCCACCCTGCCCGCCCCCTGGGGAAGCAAGACTCACTCATCATGCTGAGGCCGTCTCCAGGTCACAACTCGGCCCAGGAAATGACAGCGTTGTTGGTGTGTTACTTCCCCCTCCATCCAGTAGGGACACGCCCACTCTGGCAGCCCCAGAGAGACGCAGACTCCGCCCCGCCGCCCCACCCCGCTCGCCCGGGCGCCGTCCGGACTCCCGGCTCGCCTGCCCCGGCTTGACGACGGATCTACCGAAGAGAAAAGAGCTGGAAACAACCTGGAAGCCATAGCAAGTGAGCCATGCTTCCCAATTGCTGTAGCACCGGCCCCCACTCCAACCCCGCCAATAACAGAAGAGCTGTTAGCTGCAAAAGCCAAAACCAAAACCAAAAGCAACACAACAATAACAAACAAACAAAATGCACGAGAAAAACGATGTTTAATTTAATTTAATAAACGATGTTTAACTTCCAGAGAGACACTAATATAAATACATTCTGGCAGTTTTCCTTCCAGCCTATGTCTCCGCTGAATGTGTAAACACCCCCTCCACCACCGGCCAAGTTCCCATCACACTCAGCCTTGCAAATTACTCACTTCAGTTAATCAACCATTTAGATTTCCCCAGGCTGTTTAATATTCTTCAACAAGATTTTTAAAAAGTCAGCTTTATTAAGGTGTATGTAATTTACACAAAGTAAAATTCACCCTTTTAGTGTACACTTCCATGAGTCTGGGCGACTTTGACAGCTCTGATTCAGACCTTTTTTTTTACATGCCCCGCCCCCTCCTCCATTAAATTCTCTCATGCGCTTTCGGAGTCACCCCCGCCCTGCTCCTGGCAACCATCGCCGCCCATTTGCCTTTTCCAGAACTTCAATATGATATTTAATGGTCATTAAATATTCCATCCCCGTGGGTTCAACGTATCAGCCCCCTCCCCCACCCTTTTAAGGGTTTAAAGTCTAATTTTCGCTCTGATAAGTTATTTTAGCATGAAGCGCTAACATTAAGGGGCACAAGTATTTTCTGTATATTCCTGGAGGTGGAACTGCTGGGCCAGAAACTATGCATTTTTTATAGCACCTGATACCTACGTTGTAATGTTGGCATTCAAAAATGTTGTCATCAGTTTACATTTTCCCAGAAGTATGTGGGAGGATCTATTTTTTTTCTCCTCCTCACTGACAACTAGCTTTGTCGTTAAGAAACAATAACAAAAAAACCCTTTGTTGATTTAATAGGTGACTTATTTTAGTATACATTGCTCTTCACCACTAGTGAGACTAAACTATTTTTAAGCTTATTACCTTCATGTACTCCTTATTTTGTGAGTTATCTTGTCATATTCTTGGATCCTTGTTCTACTGAAGTATTTTTTTCCTTACTGATATATAGGAATTAATGATATATTAATTATCTTCATCCATTCTCATAGATGTTGCAAATTTTTATTTATGCTTCATTCCTGCCTTTTTGGTGTTTTTTTAAAACAGAAAAGTGTTTAATATTTATGCAAACTTACCAATATTTTACTTTATTATTTTTGTCTTTAGAAAAGGCCATTTCTACTAGCTATTCAATACACTGTCACTTGTATTTTCTTTAGATTCTTCTGGGGTTTGCTATTTAAGATTTACTTTAATCCATCTGGAATTTAGATTGGTACATATAGTGTTTTATGTATCCATATATGTCTTAGCCAGTTGTTCCACTACCATTATTAAATCATCTTAAATTTCATCTTCGATTTGATATTTCATCTTTATATTCAAAACTCATTAGCTGGTATGTATACCAGTATATCTATTTGGATATTTTCTGTTCTGTTCCAAAAAGCTATCTCTTCTGGCAACAATATCTCACTGTTTCAATCTTATAAATTTATTATCTGATTTAAAATCTGACTGTGCACAGCAGTATCAGAATTGTTAATCCAGGGCTACACATTTTTTATGAAGATTAAAAAATACTTTGTAATCCTCTCTACTATCCTGAAATGAAATTCGTAGATAACATCCTCTATTATAGTTACACACAAGGTATTGCCCAAAAAAAGAGAAATAAAAGAAAATTATTTGTAATAAAATAGTGTATATTTCAATATGTACATGCTCAAGCACTATTACACCAAAAGGTATAATGAAAGAATGAGTTGTTTGCACCCATATAAGTTGGGATTTAAGATGATACAATATTCAATGGTAAATTCTTAATTTTTTTTTTTTTTCTTGAGATGGAGTCTTGCTCTGTCACCCAGGCTGGAGTGCAGTGGCGGGATCTCAGCTCACTGTAACCTCCACCTCCTAGATTCAAGCAATTCTTCTGCCTCAGCCTCCCAAGTAGCTAGGATTACAGGAGCACGTCACCATTTTGTACTTTTAGTAGAGACGGAGTTTCATCATGTTGGCCAGGCTGGTTTCAAACTCCTGACCTCATCATCCGCCCGCCTCAGCTTCCCAAAGTGCTGGGATTACAGGCGTGAGCCACTGCACCCGGCCAATGCCTATTTTCTTATATTTGATGTTTTAAAACAAGGATCTAAGAGACGTATCTATATATTTATATACATATATCTACATTTAATCACTCTGAATGAGGGAGCTGCAAATACAGGCTGCAGTACATTGCTACCGGTGACATGATTTTCTGAAATGGTGAATAACTCTTGGTAAAATTCAGAACAAATCAAAGTACGATTTCTCCCTGATTTACAAGATAACAAAATTCCTAAAAATTCAATCTATATTAAAACTATGCCCAAAACACATAAAACATGGTTAAGTTCTAGGCCTAAATAATTATGAGCTTTTTGCTTGTATGATGAGATCTTTGAAATTTATACAGGGTAACTTTCAGCTGTGCAGGATTGTCTTATCTATTTCAGTTGTCAGGCCCCTGTCCCCACCGAAGAGCTAAATACAAGCATCCCCTTGCCAATTGCTGACGAATAAAAGCGCACCATCAGATTTCCAAAATGCCCCCTAGGGGGCAGTACCATCCTGTAAAAACTACTGCCTTAACCTACTGCCTTAGTATTAATAGTTAAAAACTACTGCCTGCTAAAAACTACTGCCTTAGTTAAAAACGTGCAAGTGTTTATAATTACTTATGGAGAAAATAGAACAAAATAAACAAAACCAATGGCATTGACATTTTTGGCATTAGTTTTAGGACTAATTTGTGCATATTGAGTATTTCAGGACTAATTTGTGCATATTGAGTATTTAACGTGTGCATAAGAACTTGGCGTATGGGGCAGATTACTTATAATTCCAATTTTAATGATGTGCTTCCATAAGAGACTTAGTCTTATGATTATAAAGTTGAAAGGTATTCTACTTTAAAAACAATTTTGTTAACAAATATTGTTTAAGAAAACACCACTCAAAATTATATGTCTATTTTATTAAATTTGTAAAATTCATCTGTGTTCATGGGAAGTCTTTGCTTGTTAGAGACATATGCAGTGTTTAAAAAGAAAATTGACAATGTTCCTGTATTTGTACACACACACACACCCACATACCCATGCACACACAAAAGGAAACTAGATTATGTTAATAAACACGTAACCTAAAATATTTCAGAGAATTTGGTCAACTAAATTGTAAAAGTCCCCTTAGATTTACAAATAGAATATTAGGATTTTAATTAAAGCTAAGAACTTAAGGATTACTAGATTTTTAGTTTATTTCAGTAAATTGAATATTAATCTAAAAACCCAAATAACCTTTAGTGTTTATAAAAGCTGCTTTCAAGGATAACCCAAAATTCGAGTGTGTACCAGCTGCCTTTTTTTTTTTTGTGACAGAGTCTCACTCTGTTGTCCAGAATGGAGTGCAGTGGCACTATCTTGGCTCACTGCAACCTCTGCCTCCCGGCTTCAAGTGATTCCCTGCCTCAGCTTCCCAAGTAGCTGGGATTATAGGTGTGCACCACCATGCTCAGCTAATTTTTATATATTTACTAGAGATGAGGTTTTACCATGTTGGCCAGGCTGGTCTCAAACTCCTAACCTCAAGTGATCCGCGCGCTTCGGCTTCCCAAAATGTTGGGATTACAGGCGTGAGCCACTGCGCCCGGACACTAGCTGCCTTCTAACACACCCTAAACCAAATGGACCTCTTCTGACTTCCTGGAATATGCAAATAAAGACTGTAAGCCTCAAGCAAACACAAATAAAGCACTTAAACCTAAAGGAAAACATTATTTATCTGAGCACAATAAAATTAAGAATCTCTGCTCAACAAAAGGCACGATGACAAGAATAAAAAGTCATGCCACATAGTGGGAGAAAATACTTACCATACACATAACTGACAAATAATTGATATTCAAAATATATCAGTGTCACCTTGATACCAAAGCCTGATAAAGGCATTAAAAAAGAACTACAGAAAAATATCCCTTGCAAACACACATGCAAATATCCTGAACAAAATACTAGCAAATCAAATCTACAAATATATAAAAGAGACTTATGTCATGACCTCATGAGGTTAATATAAGGTGAGTTCAACATTTAAAAATCAATTAATTTACCACATGTACAGAATAAGGAAAAAATATTGTATGTGCACGTCAATACATGCTTTGATTAAAAATTCTGAGCAATTTAGGAATAAAGGGAACTTCTTCAACCTTCTAAAGTTTTCTATTTAAAAAAAACAACAAATATCATGCTTAGTGCTGCTGTATTGAATGCATTCTAACTTAGATTGGAAGCAGAAAGATGTAAAACTTTCTTTATTCATGTACAACATTGTTGTTTATGTAGAAAGTACTAAGGAATCTACAAACAACTGCTAGACCTAAGTGAATTTAACAACATTGCAAATATCAATTGCATTTATAAATATCAGCCACACAAGTTCAAATGAAACATCAATAGCATCCAACTGTTTTCACGTAACACAATAGCATCTAAACTGAAATATTTAGGAATAAATTATGAAAACACATGCAGGACATAGAGATCGAAACTACAAAATATTGCTGAGAGAAATTCAAGTGGATCTCCCCAAAAAAGATAAATTACATTCATGGATTGGGAGACTGAATTTTAAGATGTATTAAGTTGTTAATACATCACAAACTGGTCTATAGATTCAAAGCAATCCCAATAGAAATTCCAGCAGGCTTTAATTTAATTTTTTGTGTGAAATTGACATGATGTTTCTAAAATACGTATGGAAATGCAAAGGACATAGAATATCGTTTTTTCTGTTTTTTTTTTTTTTTAAATGAAAAGATAAAGTTGGAAGATTAACACTGGAGTAAGTACTTAATTTTAAGACAGTATAAAGCTACATAATAAAGACAGTGTAATGTTGGTATGAGGATAGGCAGAGAGATAGGTGGGACAGAATAGAAATCCCATAAGTAAACCTAAACATATATGGTCAACTGAGTTTCAACAAAAGTACTAAGGTAATTCAGTAGGGATGGTAATTGTTTCAGTTGATCCTGGAATTACTGAAGATCCATGTGGCAGGCTAAATAATTAGCCCAAAGATATCAGGTCCTAATCCCTGGAACCTGTGAATGTTACTTGTATTAGTCTGTTCTTATCATGCAAATAAAGTCATACCTGAGACTGGGTAATTTATAAAGAAAAAGAGGTTTAATAGACTCATAGTTCCATATGGCTGGGGAGGCCTCACAGTCATGGCAGAAGGTGAAGGAGGGAGCAAAAGCATGTCTTACATGGCAGCAGTCAAGAGAGCATGTGCAGGGGAACTGCTCTTTATAAAA